TCTCTCGAACCACACCCAAACCACGCCCACACCCCACACCCGCACCCATCTCGTAGGGATTACGCTGAAAACTTTTTTCATGAGGAATCAGTTCTATACTTGAATATGTTTTATTGAAGATATACTTTTATCAACTTTGGACGGTTGCATTTATCGCGAGATATTTTGTTCTATCACAAGTTATTATCTCTGATTTCTGTTCATCGATTTCGTATCCATAATTATGTCGAAGCAAGAAACCGACACTATTCGGTCTCCATTAGTAATAGATGGTTTACCAAAATTCATGTCCTTTAATTTTCATCGTTGTATTGAACGAGTTGTATGGATATTTGCTGAGCTTGGTATAGCGGATTTAATGGCAGACCATCAAGTACCGTTGACAGCAATCGAACTAAGTCAACTGAATGGAAATCAATGGAATGCAGAATTTCTTTATCGACTATTGCAAGCAGTTGCTGACGTTGATATTGTTAAAGAATTGAGCGCTAGTGATGAAAATTCTCAAACTGATGTTCATCCAGAACATAAAAATCGTTTTCAACTCACTGATAATGGACTATTTTTAACTAGTAATCATCCTTTGAAAGCTCAAGACCTTATTCGTTTAGAGTTGGGTCCAACTACACATAAACCATCCCCACATATATCTTCCTTCTCTAATTCAGCATGGTTATAAAAATGGAAACGAGTTCGAGCAAGCCTATAATTTGTACCTTATTCGATTATTTGCAAAAGAAGAAAATAAAAAATATTCGACAATGCCATGATTGCATATTCAAATTATTCCACAATGTCATCGTAGTGTTATGTACAAATTCGTATGAGTTTTAAAAAATGATTTTCTGCTCAACTAATAAAATCTATTCGTCGATTTACTACGATGTTAGTTTTATTGAAATATCGTTTTCTTTTACAATTTTGTTTTACATAAATATTGTTTATAGTTTTTAATTTTATTCTTGATTGCCTTCGTGTTGAACTTGTTTTTCAATCAACCATTGTATATCTTGTGCTACTTATGAAGGCTTTGTATCAACAAAAGTTGATCTATTCATTGTAGTATATAGAGAGAACATTGACAAACAGATATATGTCGCAATATACAGACAGTTGATAGCTGTGAAATTTGAAGTTACTTGTATTGTACTCACCAAATTCTACTATTTTAGTTTGATTTATACCGATGAGATATCGATATTTGATTATGTACATAAATTGTATTTCTACTCAAACTACAGCATATTTTATAATATCATGGTATCGGTTGGATGTTATTCTTTAAATTACCATCATGGTATGAATTCTTATCACTAGAGCTTTGGGTTTTCTATTTTACTTTTTAAATTCTACACGAGGATATCATGTTAAATGATGCTATTTTTCTTTGAGCTTCAATATGGATATTCGCATATAGGTCAGTCGCATAAAAATAAAATCCATGCAAACGAAATATTCATTGGGTGTTCCGAAACTTGCTGTTATTCCAATAACACTGACAAATATTTTCATCTAGTCTCGCTCATTTTCTAGAACAATTGGTCGATGATTTTTATGAAATTTTCAGTGTTTTCACGAATAAAATTGAAAAGCGTATTTTGTAAATAAGTTCCATTAAATCATATTTAATCTATCTCACTAAATTCTATTGAAGTATTCAAAGAGTAAGTTCATTCTTTAAATTAATAGATGTTAACATTAAAATTAATGTGGCAAGTTAACTAGACGATCAATTAATTTTCTTTGTCAATGTTGACAAGTAGACAATGAGAAAACTCATATTGAATCATAAGTTTAGCAATTAAAAATATTACTTTTGAGTGTTCTGTTTTTTTGCATTCAATTGATTTCTAAATTGAGAACTTCATTCATATCTGAATAATTTATAAATGTAGGGTGTGGGTGTTTTTTTATTTGGGTATGTCATTATAATACCATGTTAAGGAAACATTACACAAGGTAAATTGAAAAAAATCATGACAAACAAAAAGATAAAGCAACGATATCAATAGAACTCACTGGTTGGATTATGATGTTTTTAAGATGAAAACAACTCATAAAAATAATATATTTGAATCGATTGAGAACGAACTCTGATTGACTATTACTATTGACGGAGATCGACCTCTACGGAAATCGAATATCCAATGAAAAAGATTCAACTTCATCTATAAACACCTTGGAACATTCAATGAAAGCTATTCAAATCAAATGAAAATCATTGAACTAAAATTCTTCTAATATTTTCATGACTTATTATAATGTGAAAAGTATGTGACATGATTGCTTATATACTTAGATTGACTACATTACCAATGGTTCTTGGTCTTTATATTTTACTTTTTGTTGAATTTGAACGAATGAGGAATTGAAAAGTTAGACAAACAATTCGTCTCTTAGAAGGTATCTTTTAACTAGTCAGAAATAATCAATAGAAATTTACTAAGTTCGTTTCACCTCATGTAGATAATGGTTAAATCAGTTTTAAAAATATGATTATTTTGTAAACAATTTTCTTTGCTATCAGTTCTCAAATAAAACAGTTTGGTTCAAATACATTTTATTGATGAGCATATAAATATCTGAAGGATAATTCTTTGTTGAAACACATCTATGTGCCTGGTTTCGCAATGATTAGATAGTATCTATAAAAGTTTTAGTTGAATATTGTAGGCCAAATTATGACAGTTTTGGTGATAAAAATAGAGTTTTTCATAGTCAAAGAGCTCTAGTTTAAAAAAATTACTATGATTGAAATACATATAAAGTATTCATTAAAAAAATAGATTGTAGCGTTGCTCTGAGTTATCTAACACAAGAAACAAAGAACTTTTTTCTCTTCGTTCTGCTTGTGAGAGTCATTGATGGAAAGAGGTAGACTCATTTGAAACGATGAAAAACATTAAAACAATGTGACACAATCAGTAAATGTATTGAAGGATGTGGGCGTGGGTGGGGTATGGGTATTCATTGAGAAGAATCATAAGTCGCACAACACCCACACTCACACCCTCATCCACACCCTAGTATGGTCGTCTAATATGAAATTTGTTCACCAAGTTCTTATTATTTATACTTGATAACGAGGAATTTATTCGTATATTGTTTTAGAAAATAAATTGTAATTGTCCACTGACATCAATACGAAAGAATATTTCGGTCAAAGTTTTAAAATGGGATTAAAAAAATTGTAAATTCTTAAGATATTCCATCAGGTGCACCACCTTTACGTATATCACAGTTAGCCCAATATTGATTGACTTCATTACGCCATTCAATACCTTGTATGGTAGAACCACCAAAAGCACCGCATGTTATATTATGACCACGATCTTTCAATCGTTTTAATATATCCTAAAATAAAACAAAAAAACAAAAAAATTTTTTGAATAATCTATTTAAAAAAAAACACAGATTTACATAATCAAAACCATTTTCAGCAATAACTTCTTGTGGTAATAATTGTGAGTGAAGACGTGGAGAATCTATTGCTTTTTTAATATCATCATTAAACCATAAATTAAGCATAGCTACTTGAGCTATAGCTGTTGTTATTCGTGTGCCACCACTACCACCTAAAACTTGCTGTATACGTTGATTATGTTTTTCCATTATAATTAAAGGTGCCATAGATGAAACAGGTCGTTTTCCTGGTGCTATATAATTAGCTGGACTTGCTGGTATACCAAAACGATTCGTTGTATTTGGAGTTGAAAAACTATCCATTTGATTATTATAAATAATATCTGTTTCCGGACCAAGAACTGTTGAACCAAAACTAATAGAAAATAAAAAGAAAAAAGAAAACAATCTTTTTTAAAATTAAAAAAATACAAAATAAGTCATACAAACGATTAATAGTTGATGTTAATGCAACAGCATTACCATCAAGTCCAATAACTGATAAATGAGCTGTTCCTGTTGTCAGTTTATCTAGCCATGCTCCACCATAATATTCAAAACCAAATGTTTTATCATCACTAAATAAGAAACTAGATAAAAATCGATTCAACTTGTTTTTTTTTCTTTTGTTATACTTAATTCGTAATCGTATATCATTAGCATATTCTTTTGAAGTTAAATTACGAATAAGCTAAAATTTATTTACTATTTTTATGAAAAGAAAGAAAAATTCAATATTTTTTTTTTTGCTATACTTCAGTTATATTTATCTTTGATGGATCACCAAGTTCACTTCTTTTTGCATAAGCAAATTTAAATGCTTCGATAAGACGATGATAAAATAGAGAAGCTGTTGTTGATTGTTGTAAATCATTTTCATGTGTGTGATAACCTTATTTAATAAAATAGAAGAAGTTTTTTTCATTTAAAAAAAAACGTTTCAATACCTTGAAGAATATTTAAAATAAAAGTAAGAATTGGTCCACTTGTAGGTGCATGTGTTGTATATGCAGTTATTGAACTATTAAGATCAATACTTAATGCTTCTTGAAAGTCAATATCATAATTAACAAGATCTTGTTTTGTTATAATTCCACCTCGATCTTGAATTTCTTTAACAATTTTATCAGATAATTCACCTGTATAAAAAGCATCAACACCTTGTTCAGCTATTATTTCAAGTGTACGAGCTAATTTTGGTCGTTTCATTAAATCACCAGCAACATATAATTCATTTGTATCCGGATTTTTTATAAAAAGTTCTCTATTATAAGAAAACATTTATTTATCATTTATTTTTTTTCTATATAATATAAACCTCATTGCAGGATCATCAAGGATAACACGTGTTGTTTGTTTAATAGCTTTAGCTTGTGCTTCACTAACATGAAAACCTTCTCGACATAATTGAATTGTTGGCTGAAATAGTTCTTTCCATAATACACCTCCACCAAATTCATCATAAGCTTTTTTATAAGCTCGTAATTCACCCGGTACTCCAATAGCTAATCCACCTTAAATACGTACAAATCTTATATCTCTGGTTTTTTTTCTCTTTAATAAAATTCTTACCAGTTGCAGACATATTTGTTCTACCAACAAACATTGTTGAATTAGCAGCTAATGGTGCTTTTTCTCTCTAAAAAACAAAAACACTTGTTTTTTTTTGTTTATTATCTTTAACTTACTCCAATTATACTATAGACTTTGTTTCTTTTCCTATGAATTATATTTAAAAAAACAAAACATTTTCAAAAAACAAAGCGTGTTTTTTTCTTTTACTTTGAATAAATTGTTATAACACATCCACCACCAATACCCATTGAATGTGCATTCATAACACCATTACAAATAGCTGCTGCTAAAGCAGCATCCATTGTTGTACCATTTTTCTCTAAGATAATGCGTCCAACTTTTGAACATTCACCATTATCAACAGCTACAGCTGCTCGAGAATATTTTCCCAAAATCGATGAACTATTTATAGTATAAGTTTCATGATCGGTACCACACACTTCCTCACTGACATTTCGGGAAGCTACATCAATGAAATAGAAAATAGATTAAATATATTATTCAATAAAAATATTGGAACAACCTCCTCAAATGTTCCTTGCCGATTCCAATGATCTTTTTTTTCGTATGGATACTACATTCATATTCTAGTGAAAATCATAGGTTGAAATTTTAAGATGCCTATTGATCAGAGATAGTTTTAAATGTTGTCTACATCTGAAAGTCTCATATATACAGTAACTTGTATAAATAGTTTCAGAATTTGTCGACTTCACGTTTTCGAGACTATGAACTTTTCAAAAATTGACGCTTTTTGAAACGTAATGAATAATACAAGAATATTTTGAAACGTTCGTATCTCTAAAACTCTTCATACAAGCTATTGTATATAAGATCTTCAAAATGGGAATAGTTTCAGAATAAAATTCAAAAACACGATTTTTTCCCGAAAATCTGAGATCCTGCAGAGGTCTCTAGAAAATAGGCATGTTAAAAATTCAATAGTTCCAACAAGTCTTAATAAGAACTCAAATCTTTTTCTTTTTTAGAGTTTTCACTAGAATACTATCTAGTATCTATAGGCAAAAATCATTGAAATCAGAAGTGAATGTCTGAAGAGGTTCTCTCATACGATAAATAATGTTAAAAAATAAAAATATTACACTATTTATTATTGAAATCGACAATATAAAAGAATAGAGTATATGATAAAAAATCTGTTTTTTTTTGCATAGAACATGTATAAACATTTTGAATAATGACATTTACTGATTTATTCTTCTGTGGATTAGTAAGCTCAAATTAGTGAAATTTCGAGTTTTTCTTTAATCAAATGACAAATTGTCAGTAATATACTACCGATTCACTTATTAAATAAACATTTACATATGAAACTGATAAATAAGAGATTTATTCTTACGTCTTCTTAAGCCTAAAACAAGACCAATAATAATACCGACGACAACAAGAACAGAAATAGTAGCAAGAGTAAAGATGAATATTTGTCGTCTAAACGTAAATAGAAAAACGAATATAAATAATCAATTTATTTGAAATATAAAAATAAAAAGAAGTAAAACTATAATCCACCTTCGTTTTCGAATGATAATTAATTTTCGATAGAGTAATAAAAGCTGTTAACCTAATCTCTGTTGAATTAAAATCTTAAACACAATACAGCTGCTGTTGCTAATCATAAGAAGATTGCTTTATTCTATGTATTTCTGGATACATTTCTTCGCCATTCTTTTGTTTAATCCTCCAGAAGTGCAGTAAGGAGGTAGTAACAAGACGTGATTAATATACAGTCTTTGATCGTACATCAATACGGTCTGTTGGGGAAGTGAGCCCTAATTTCTACCACTATACTTCAATACTCCTTTTAGATCGTGTTGCGCAAAATATATACTCTTAAAGAACCAGTTATTATTGGGATAGTTCAAATTAAATAATTAATATATCATTAAATGTCGTATAGACTCGGTCAAATAATCAGTAACATAAGGATTAAATGCAAATAAAAGGACAGATTTATATTGTTCTTTTGAAAAATCATTTAAATATTGTTTAGTTCGTATTTTTTTCTCTTTTATATCTAAACAATTGAGTTAAGAATTTCTTTCTTCTTGCTTTTATTTTGCATTTTATATTTGCTTACCTATTGGAGAACACATCTCTTAGATCCACCATGTTTCTAAATTGTTGTTAAAACGATGATAAATATAATCAATAGAAATCAATTTTGATTCATTCTTTATCAATCACTAGTACACTTCACACAAGTAAATAATAATAATAATAATAATAATATAAAACGTCTATCATCATTTCTTCCACTTCACTGAAATGCTACAATAAACAAAATAAAGGTAAATGATAATGGCAAATACAACGACATTAAATTTGCATGAGTAATTTTTTTTGTTTGTTTCTGCATACAAATAGATGAATGACATTTTGTGGTTACGAAAAATAAAAACTTTTAGCTTATTATTATATTTTGTCTTTAAATTTTGAAAGAATGTAAAAGCTAAATTTTACACGTACGGTTAAGAATAAGAAGAGGAGAAGGCTTTATTGATTAGGGGTCTCAGTTTTGGGTTCCCGTTCTAAGGAACCCGGGAACCCGCATTAACTTCATAAAATTCAAAGGAATGCATGTCCTAAAATATCTCAGAACAACTAGGAACACATAACATCGAATTTTTAAATGGGTTCCCGTACCTGGGAATGCGGAACCCAGGGCGTTCTCTAGTCTAAGAACCCGGTCAGGATTGGCATCCTTTGGTATACAAATTGAAACTTTGTCACAAGTTCTGCGTAGGGATGGTACTTTACTTTCACTGCAGAAAACAAAGATAAATGAATCCTTTACTTTTAAAAAATAAAGATAAAGTAAAGGAATAAAGGATTCTTTTTTTGAGGGTTGGTGATGTTGAAAGTGCTCTAGGACTACAGAGGTCATGTTCAGAAAAATTTCTATCATAAAATAAATGCATTTGTACTGAAAAGTAGGGATGGATCTTTGTTTTTAATTTGAGTTAATTAAGTGACTTGATTAAACGACTTTACTCAACATTTAATATTAATAAAAAAAAATTTCGTAGGAGTCACTTAATCACTTAATTTTTAATATTAAATATTAAGTTTTTCGCTTTAACAGTTAATTCACTTAAAATTAAGTGATTAAGTGGTTGATATAAAAACTATTTAATTTAATTTTGATTTAAAATCTGACATTTTCCGTTCAATAGTTTGCGAGAGTTTGATGGGGAACTATTTTCATACGGGTGAACTTCGGCATGAAGTAATACGAGTACTACCGATACCAATAGCGTACGCTACCAGTAAGATTGTACCATACCTGTCAGAGTGAGTGACCCGTACAGCTTCGTATCAAGTAGATATGGCATTTTAACTTTAAAACCTTAAGATAAAGTAAGCATGTTACCCATTACTCTTTTGGTTAATCGCAACATAGTAACGATCGACATTTACAAAGCAGACATTCATCTGCTACTATTCAGAGGTCTCTATTGGTGCTAGAAATTCATCAAAATGATCTTGTATTCAACATTTTATCAGCTTCATCCTACAACAGAGGAAAGAGCTTTTTCAGATAATGACAACATATTATTAGCTTTAACCGAAAAGAATGGGAACCGGGGAATTCGAATCCTCTATTAATTTTTCAAACTTTTGAAATCAATGGTCTCTCTCAAGGAAAGGATTTTTTCAGAAAGATTTAACCGAAGATAATTGGAGTCAAGGGATGACATCCTAGGGTGAGATTTATGAAATCGAATATTTTATCATCAATGATACAGTCGTTTCAATTGAGAAGAAGCGCCTCACATGAACTTCCTTTGTTGATAGCGAAGGATAACCAAGCAGAGAAGGAAACGAGAAACAAAATCTTGAGTTTTCTCGAAATATACTTTCATCGTGTTGAATGTAATTCTGTCTACTTTGATAAACAATCTGTTTTTTGTTTAAAGCAGTATTAGTTTTATGAATACAGATCAGAAGGGCTCAAATAGCAACAGCCAAAGATAAGGCAATGGGCGTTTGTAAGTAATTGCGAAGTTTAAAACTTCTGAGAATAAAAGTTACTATAGGTTGCTAAAAGATTGAAAAGTGAAGGCTGACTTTACATAAACTCGTTTTGATGAGTATTAACTTAGTGAAATTAGTGTTACTTGCCATGGATCATGGTAATCTAGTATCAGTGTAACACGAGTTTATCGGACTGTGCATCTAACCAATAATATGCATCTTGGCAGAAGTCAAGTATCGTCACCATTGCATGAGTATCTATACCTGTAAGCGTTTGGCATTACGGATGTTAACAAATAATGACTGGTGCGAAACTAGACTTTTCCTTGAAAGCAATGCTACCTGTGGAATCTACTGTTTATGTTTAGCAGTTGAAATAGCGAGATACCAAGACCAAAATAAAGAAGGCTTTCAGAACCTTTTAGAGACCTGGAAAGTTCTGAGAAGTTTGCGTTTGTTTTCAGAGCAGGATCTATAACAAAATCTTGCCCGAGATCAAAGACGAAAAGCTGCGTTCTAAAAATTCTAAATATGAGTTAAAGGTTAGGATTGAAAAAAGGATCTATTCTTTATTCTACATTTTAATTCTGTTGTTCCGGTATCTGAGAGGTTTTTGAATCGTACGAAGAAAACTACATTACTTTTCACTGTGAAGCGAATAAAATGTGTCAGTTAGTTGAACATATCATAAATCAGCATGCACTGTTTTAATTCACAGTGAGGTATCGAAAATTTCTTGAAAAGATCATACAGATTGACTACTTTATGAAGTACTGCGGCATATTTAAAGGAAATTTTGCGGTCCGATACGTCTAGTACTACACCACTTGTATCGCTTTGGTTTGGGCAGAATGCTTAGTTAATTTTGTCAAAACCTACTTTCACAGAAACCACGTGTGACGATTTTGGATAGAAGAAGAGTTAGCGCTGATGGAACTATGCTTTATTATATTTCTTCGTATCAAGAATCGCATCGTTTCCGTACAAAACATATGCTTATATACTTGTCCCTCAGAGAGAAGGAAAGAATGATAAGGACAGAAAATAACGTAAGACCATATATGGGAAAAAAGAGATGTAAGGACAAAGTATAAGGACGAAAATAACAATACAGTCTTTATGCCATAGCGATGGGAATAAAATTTTTTACAATGTACAGCAGCCAAACGCATAATATTGTCATCTGAAAACTATTACAATGGAGGTGTTTGGGCTGCGAGGAGATTCATTAGATTCACTAGAATGAAATGGAAGCATTCGGTGTCAAACCCACAAATTTAAAATATAGGCTGCTGTTGGAATGCTGCGAGAGAGAAAGATTTGAGTTTTATGATATTGGTAAAGTTAGAGAAAAAAATCACGTATTTTGAGACTATATTCTAAACCAAAAATGGTTCAATAAAACTAAACGATGTTCCCAATGTAGAATTTCATGTTCTATCGAGTGCAAATATTTTCGACAGGAATCAGTATTAACTAGGAGTAGAAAATCTTCAAATACTGAGTTTTCAGTAAGTTTTTTAGCAAATCTTTAAAAACCTTTCCAGAGGAAGGTGTCTTCATAAAAAACAAAAAATATTTTTAGGTGCTCAAATGTATTCTCTATGGAATACAAATACTTGGGGTGTGAGTGAATTATGGATCTCACACTCTTTATTGAAGACATTTACCTATTGGGACAAGTGTGTAATTTCTGTTCTCTTATGCCTACAATGTATAGAAATGTGAGCGGGAGACTCTATTTTCTAATCCTTTCTTCTAAATACATACTCTCATGTAGAGAAAAAAACTCTATGAATATGTACTTTATTTTTTACAATTATTCCATTTTCTCTGACTCTCAAAAACACATTTGCAAATAGAGTTTTTGACTTATCCTTATTGTTCTTTACAACCAGTAATGACCGAAAATAGAAAGTCTATATTTATGCAATAAAGATAAATGCAACAAAAAGGTTTTATTTCTTGATAAATGAAATAGAATAGAGACAAGAAGCATTTTATGATGAAGAAGAAATACTTCATTTTTTTTCAGCATAACTGAATAGTCTTAATAATTTCAAAAAACAGTGCACTAGCAGTATTTTTACATGTATATTTTTTTCTGATATTTTCAGCTTTCAACTGCATCGAGTCTTTTGCCGTTAAAGGCTAAATAGAGAAATGCTTAATGTAAGTTGTTGTATCCCAATTTTCTATGTTGATTTACGGGCATATGGGTTTTGAGTCTGAGTGCAGATGTACGGTGTGATGATTTGAGCCTCAGTCTGGATATTGGGTGGATGTAGGTGATGAGCTGTGTCGAATTCACATGTGAATAGGCCTATGGGTCTTAAGTTCAATCACAACCACGGTCGCAGCTACATCGTGTCCCACCCCGTATTCCTACTGGTAGCGAACGCTATTGATATCAGTAGTATGTGTATTACTTCATACCGAAGTTCGAAGCATTTATAGAGATTCTTTCGTAAGATTTTCATAAAGTTGCAGAAAATTTCCTGAGAATGTTCTAAAAAGTACTATGAAATAGTTCGTATGAAAAGAGTTCTCCATGAAACTCTCGCAAACCATTGAACTGAAACTATCAGATTTTAAATCAAAATTAAATTGAATAGTTTTTATATCAACCACTTAATCACTTAATTTTAAGTGAATTAACTGTTAAAGCGAAAAACTTAATACTTAATCCTCTGCTGAAAAGAAACTAGTTGAGATATAACATGAATTATTGCATTTTCTCCAATGTTTAGAAGACTTCAATCAGAAAATTGAAAATGGAATCAAAACTAAAATCATATTTTGAACCAGCATTAGAAATGGAGCTGATCTGTGAATATTTCAAAAACTTTTCAGTTCGTTTTTTCTCGTAGAAAAATTTGCCCGTACTCCCCCTCCCCCTCGCCCAAGGCATTTGACTCGCAGAAATAAATTTTGCGCAAAAGTGGTTCCCGTAATGGCAAACAAGCTCTCAAGTTGTAAAATGATAATAGAACACAAAATGAGCAATATATAAATGATGAAAACATCGTTTTCATGGGTTTCATTTTTGCGACTCAAATGCCCTGGAGGGAAGTGCGGAAACATTTTTCGATGAGAAAAAACGAACTGAAAAGTTTTTGAAATATTCACAGATC